ATAAAATGAACACACCAAAAACAAAATAAAAAAAAAAAAGGAATTGCTACAAATTAACAATTACATTTAGTATTGACGTGTAATAACAGAACATGGGAAAAGCTCACATCATACTCAGAGGTCAATCTAATAGAGCTTTAAGCATGGCGATTTCAAAGAGAAGTATATTTATACTGGGGTATAAAAGATTCTATAACAAATTTTAAAACAAAGTATTACATTCCATCTCATTAATATTTTTATATAATGTCAACAAAATTGAAAAATGGACTTGTATCCAGTTGAAGATGCAGAATTCACTGTTATGCTGTTTTAGCTAAGAAGTCTTACCAACAAGTATGCCGCTGAGATAAACTGGCTGAATGAAGTGACTCAGCAATGCTCCCTGGACACCCAAAACTTCCCATTTTGTTAATTTGTCACTGGCTGACATGCTGTTCACTCTGTGAGCAACTTCACTGGGGCAATAAAATGTTAGGTAAATCTTGCCTTCTACAGCAACATGGAGACTCAGTTCTTCGTTAGCTTCAAATGCAGATAAAGAATTTGGATTGAGACGTCTAAAATTGAAAATTTACAGGAAAGATAATGAATTCCAGCAGGAAAGTTATCTTTAGAAAACAATGAAATATTTACAGGTACTGCTAAACTAAAGGACCTGGATATAGCAATGCCTAGTATTGCCTTGCTTAATTTTTAAACAGCAGGTACAGACATAGAGTTCACAAATCCAAATTAAATGCTCAAGTTTTCAATACAATGCACAAGGAGATCTGCACATCTAAAAGTAGCTCATGGAGGGTTGAAAAAGAGTAATGGGCACCTAAATCAACCAGCAGGAAATGCCAAGAAGGCCATATGCAAAATCTCACTTCTGGATTTAAGTTCTGACTGTAGCCATATGTAAGGCTATGCTCTAAGAAAGTTGGGAATTCATAGCCCAAACACCCTCTGTCCCCAAGACATATACATGTTTTCTTAGGATACTAACTGACATTTCTTTTAAAACAAGCCAAAGGAGGTGGAGGAGCTAGTAGAAGAGGAAGTGGTGGTAATATGCTGTCATCCAACTTTTATGTGCATCACCTAGAGTAGGGGTGCTCAACCTCCACCCTGCAGGCTACATACTGCAGGGAGTGATGCAAAATGTTCAGGCAAATGGGCAGCCTTGAGCTCTGTGAACTGCATTAGGCACCTGACCAGGCACACACAGCACAAAGTCCCAATCCCAACATGACATGCCTGTGGGGCCAAATGTCATGAAGTGTGGACAGGAGGTGGTGGTGCCACCAGGCTTCCAAGGCACAATCCTGGTGCACAGGGGCAGGAGGGGATGGCTCCAGGCCCCTGGGAGCCAGTCCCAGTGCACAAGGGCAGAACAAGGTGGCACCAGACCCCAAGGCCTGATCCTAGCGTGCAGTGCCTACAGACTGGCCTCATACCCGTACATCTGGCCCACAAGGCAAATAAACCCAGTTTTCAAATAGGAATCCACAGAATTAAAAACATTCTCCCCTGTTATGGTCTGAGTTCTTTGCAACAGAAAAATTATTCTATTACTTTTCTGTAGTTACAAACAGAATGAAAAACTAATAGTTGGCACTTTCCTAAAAGTGTCTTGACTCTACCAAGGGGTGCCTCAAGTCTAAAAAGGTTGAGAACCACCAACTTAGAGGTTAGAAAACTTGCTCAGGAAGTGGAAGACTTAAGTTGTACATCTTCTTCAGCCTACGGAAATTCAAGCCAATGGCCCCAGATGTCCAACCTACAAAGCTAGGAGCTAAGTTTAAGTAGGAATACTCTGCTTTTGGGAGAGTTCTGCCAGAAATGAAAAAGATTCATTTGGCCAGACAAGCATGTAAACAGTGACTCTACTGCTATCATCACTGGGCTATGGGCTGGGAGAACAGGAACCTGGGTTCTGGGCTCTGCTGTGAGGACAGCTTATGCATTAGAACACTCATTGGATGAAATGCACAAACAGTAAACACAAGCACAGACTGAGGATGGCAGAACTTAGAGATAGCTCTACACTTGGGGTTATTATTTTAAAAGGGGGTAATCATTATCATTTGTGGTTGTATTTTTAAATCAAAGTGGCTACTGAGTGCTGAACTCAATGCTGTCAGTACGTAATTAGGCCTGCTTACAGCACACTTAGCGGATCCAGCCCTTTAGAATATTTAAGTGCAGTAATGCCTAGTTTAAAAGTCCTATAACAAACCTACATGGGGAAAGAGAGGTGAATGGCTCAGCACCTGTCCTAGGTGCCTTGCATAGGGACTTTTACTGGAGAAAACTTAGGTGCCTGAGGACTTTATCAAAATAGGCCAACTGCTCATTCTCCAAAGGTTGGCCACCTTAAATGTGTTTTAATTTGATATCCCTGCCCCCCCTCTCCTCCCCACACTGTAACTTAAAGAAAAAGAAAAAGAATCACTCATTACTTTTGGAAATTTAGTCCAATACCACTAAAAGATGGTTAGTACTGCAAGCGATGAAAGCTGCAAGAAGGTCTATATATGCTACAACAAAGCTGTTCCAAGCTCCATGATTTCCCCAACGTAGTCAAGCCTGGCTTGAAAGAACTTTTACAATTTCTCAAAATTTTAAATTAGTTTCTAATTTATACTAGCATCAAACAACTTTTATTTTTATAATATTCTGTATTAGACATTCAAAAAAAAAAAGATTTTATTTTATTACAAAAAAAAAAAAAAAGAGTCAACACTTAAGACTGGAGTAAATACTTCCCACTGCACACATCTACATGTTCATTAACATGCAGTAGTTACTGCACAGTAGTGTCAGCGAACACCTCTTTTGTGATGCTACCGAGCAGTACCCTAATACAGTGCAATAGCATATTAACACTGTTTGTGCTGTGATACGCTACTGCATCACGTTATTAGGCTACTGCGCAGTAAACATCTTGCACAGACATGCCCACTATGATCAGATGAATTCATTCAGAATGGAAGATTAAAATGCTTATTACATTTGAATAATTAAATGCTACATTTGAAAACTTCAGGATACTTACAGCTGTGACTTTATCTGAGCAGATCCTTTTGGCAACTGATTTATGTAGAGGAAAATATTTATATTTTGTTTTAGAGTAAGCAGACTTGATGCTGGTTCCATACAAAACACAGATTTTTCTGTCAAAGCAGTATTTTTACTGTAGAAGAGCAAAAGATGCCTATAAAAATACCTAAAACAAAGTGTTATAGCTCAAGATTTGTGGAAATTAAAGACTTAGTATTTATATAACAACATTTTAATTATTTAAAGCTATTTACATATATAGCTATTACCTGGCATATCATCTTTGAGATTGGAATGAATAAGAAGTAAACACGAAACCACTCTGTACAAGTGGCATTTATTTAGCTTAACAAAAATTGTTACTTGCATGCCTTATTGCCTATGTAGTCATTTTCTTACCTAAGCAGTGAGCGTCTTGCAGTAACAACAGCATGACTATCATGCAAAACTCTCCCATCAGGATGAAAACACTGACTGTAATTGTATTTCCCTGTTCCTATAGCTACAACTTCAGGCTGACCAGCTAAAAGAAAAACGTGGATAACACATTAGCTTAATTTGATTGAAGAATTCCCTCTTTTTACAAGACCTACTTTTAGAGTAATTAAATAACTACACAACATTTGATTATAAAAGAGAAGAGACTTTGTTAACTTGACTGCTCAGTTAACTATTGAGTCAAATTTGATTGATAGATTAGTATTTTATAGGCAGAAGACAGACATTTTGAACACTTCACTCATTCTCCTCTTACCCTGTAGAATATGGGTAAGGAAGTTATCGAGGCTGGATGGACACAATGAGTTTGCGAGCTGTCAAGGGCCACAAACAAAATCTTTAAGATATCTTTTTAACAAATTATAGATAAAAAATATCTATCTAGATATCACATACTAAAAAACAAACATCTAACATAACATTTACATTTTACTTCAAATAATAATTTTTGTCCCAATTTATGGGGGGGGTTTTGAGTAGTGTATATGGAAGCAATTGCATAATAGCTCAAAATAAAGTCTTACTCTTGTATATTCTGCGCAGGGGCGTGTGTAAGCGGGGGATGTGTGTGGGGGTATGAGTTGTGTGTCGGTTTGTGTGTGCATG